CCCCGAAGGGCCATGCCCATTTGGGCATATCAACACGGACTAATGTGAAGTAAGTCCAACCAATGCTGAAACTTGCTACCCATTACCACTTTGGTTAACATGTCAGCTGAGTTCTCATTTGTGTATACCTTTAAGAGTGAAATATCACCTTCCTCCATGACATCACGCACAAAATGATACCTGACATCGATATGCTTGGTTCGAGCATGATGAACATGATTCTTAGCCAAGTGAGTCGTACTCTGGCTATCACACCACAAGTCCACACAATCCTGCTCAATCCCCAAATCATCTAAAAGACCCCATAACGACAATGCTTCCTTCACTCCCTCTGCCATGGCCATATACTCGGCCTCTGTAGTAGAAAGGGCAACTGTAGCCTGTAACATCGATCGCCAACTAACTGGGGCACCATGTATGCAAAACACATATCTAGTAGTAGATCGTCGTCTATCTAGATCACCTGCATAATCCGAGTCCACAAACCCACTTATATGACATGCATCTCTACCAAAACATAAACCCGTATCCGCAGTATCTTTTAAGTACCTCAGGATCCACTTCACAGCGTCCCAGTGTGCCTTCCCCGGATTTGCTATGAATCTACTGACCACACTAACCGCCTGTGAAATATTTGGGCGTATACACACCATGTCACACATCAAACTGCCAACTGCACTAGCATAAGGTACACGATCCATGCGTACCTTTTCTTCCGCTGTAATAGGAGACTATTTACCAGAGAGCCTGAAATGTGGAGCCAATGGAGTCACCACCGACTTTGTACCTTGCAACCTGAACCTAGCAATAACCCGCTCAATGTAGCCTTTCTGACTCGAGAACATTCGCCGGTTCGTCCTCTCTCTTCTAATCTCTATACCCAGTATTTTTCTAGTAGCCCCCATATCCTTCATCTCAAACTCTTTACCAAGTTGAGATTTCAACTTATCTATCTGCACCTTGCTTTTCGAAGCGATAAGCATGTCATCCACATACAAAAGAAGATAGATATAGTTACCTCCCCGAAGTTTTCGAATATAAACACAACAGTCATACTCACTTCTGGAGAAACCATGCTTTAGCATGAAGGAGTGAAATCGCTTGTACCACTGCCGAGGAGATTGCTTCAATCCATATAGTGATTTTCTCAAGCGACATATCTGACGTTCCTTATCCTCTACCTTATAGCCCTCAGGTTGATGCATGTAGATTTCCTCATCCAAGTCCTCGTGCAAGAAGGCGGTTTTGACATCGAGTTGTTCCAGCTCAAGATCATGATGAGCAACAATACTCAATAGCACCCGAATGGAAGTGTGCTTGACCACCGGAGAAAATATCTCATTGTAGTCAACTCCATTTCTTTGTGCAAACCTCTTAGCCACTAACCTTGCTTTGAATCTTGTACCACCGAGCTTGGTAGGATCCTCTTTCTTTTTGTACAACCACTTGCAACCAATAGCTTCTTACCTATGGGCAATGGGATAACCTTCCATGTTTGGTTCTTGTGAAGTGATTCCATCTCTTCTTCCATCGCTGCCAACCAACTCTCACTATTGTTGTTTAAAATAGCTTCCTTGAAAGTGGTAGGCTCATTATCCTCCATCGAGAGTGCATACTCAACCAAATTTGTCTGCCCATAGTGCCTCAAAGGCTCGTCTGACCCCAACTTTAGAACTTGCTTGTAAGTACAGCGTGGCCTAGAGGAAGCCAAGTTATCTACAAGCTGTTGTTGTTGCTGTGCCTATACATTCTCTTGCTGAACAGCCTCTTGTTCAAGCCCATCATCACTCTCATCTTGAGTATCTGCATGATGCTCCTCTTGAATATGCCTAGAACCAGGTTGATCTCTAAGTTCTATGTCAACAACTTGAGACTTTGTAGTCTCAACATCATCACCACCGGGCACTGTAGCTTTCAATGAAGCTATCATGGAGTTCTCATCAAAAGTAACATCTCTGCTGATTATAAACTTAGAATCCTCTACACACCATAGGCGATAGCCTTTTACACCTGTCGCATACCCCAAGAATATAGCTTTCTTGGCCCTCGCATCAAGGTTTCCCTTGTTGACGTGATAATAGGCTGTGCATCCGAATATTCTGAGTTTCTCATAATCTGCATGTTCTCCTGTCAATACCCTGTAAGGTACATCTCCATCTAACCTTGAATGTGGAGACCGGTTCACTATGTAGCAAGCATTTGCAACCCACTCTATCCACCATTCTTTGCCCAAATCAGCATAGGATCGCATACACATCGATTTCTTTTGAAATGTGCGATTTAGCCTTTTTGCAACCCCATTCTGTTGCGGTGTATTCCTAACTATCCAGTGTCTCGCAATGCCTTCCTTACCACAGAACTCCTTAAAAGCACCATCTGTATACTCAGTACCGTTATTAGATCGCAGTGTCTTCAATTTCTTTCCTGTTATGTTTTCAACCATTGCTTTCCACTTCTTGAAAGTGTCGAATACTTCATTCTTATGCTTCAAAAAATAAATCCAAGCATATATAGAATAATCATCAACAAATGTAACAAAATACCTGGAACCGCCTTTGGAAGTGACAGAAGCCGGACCCCATACATCCGTGTGCACATAGTCTAGAATGCCTCTACTTCTATGTTTGCTTGGCTGGAACTGAACTCGATGTGCTTTACCGTACATGCAATGCTCGCAAAAATCCATGCAAGGCTTCTTCAAGTTCTTTAGCAAACCTTTCTTGACTAGCAGATCTAGCCCCTTTTTAGACATATGCCCAAGCCTCCTGTGCCATAGCCGAGTGCACTCACATGGGTCTCCACCACTTCCACTTGTTCCAACCGCTACATCTTCTGTAACTGTAGTACCCTGAAGAGCATAGAGATTGTCTTCACGAATACCCTTCATCACAATCAAGGAACCACGAACAACCTTCTTTACTCTATTCCATGTTACAATCTTGCAACCACCGGAATCTGAGGCACCAACAGAGATAAGGTTCTTCCGCAAATCAGGAACATGTCTAACATCCATCAATGTTCTAACCACTCCATCATGCATCTTGATTCTAATTGAATCGAGCCCCACCATTTTACAGGAATGGTTATTACCCATCAACACGGTTCCACCATCAGTGCTTCTATAGGTAGTAAACTACTTCCTATTTGGACACATATGGTAAGAGCATCCAGAGTCAAGAATCCACTTACCGGAGGTTTCTTCATCACAAGAGATGGTGTAGCACTCATCGCTTTCCCCTTCTTCCGAGGCATAGCTTACCTCTTGCTTGACTTGCACCTTCCCGTTGTTGTTGTTCTTATTGTTCTTCTTTGAATCCCTTTTGTTAGTACAATTCGCTTTGAAATGCCCGAACTCGCCGCATTTGAAACAAGGCCTTTTCGTAAGAGGTCTAGAACTCGATCTAGATTTTTCTCCCTTTCCCTTGGTCGCACATTGCTTCTACCTCTTACAAACAATCCTTGAACTTGCTCCTTGTTACCAATGGTAGACATGCCACTAGTTGCAATCTTTTGAAGATCATCCGCTAGAAGTGACGTCCTAGTGTCCTCCATCACAAGTTTATCACCCACAAGCATCAATGTTTATACTAGGTTCTCGTAAGACTTTGGCAATGAAAGAAGTAGTAGAAGTGCTTGATCCTCATCATCTACTTTCACATAAATGTCCTTCAAGTCCGATATGCACCTATCAAACTTGTTAATGTACTCCCGGATTGGTGTACCTTCATCCATCTTGCAAGTATACAATTTGGACTTCAAATAGATCCGATTAGTTAGAGTCTTCGTCATGAAGTTCGTCTCCAACTTTGTCCACACCTCCGCCGCCGTTTCCTCACCATTAACCAAGAAAGCAACATCTCTTTCAAGGCATAGAATGATAGACGCTCGTGCCTCAAGATCTAGCTTTTCCCAATCCTCGTCAGACATATCTATGTGCTTCTTCTCCTTTCCCATCAATACCTTGTGCAACTTTTGAGAAATTAACAAATTTTTCATTTGCATTCTCCAATATGAGAAATCATTCTTCCCATTGAATTTCTCTATCTCATACATCCCAATCTTCACCGTTCCTCTAGTTGACATGATTTATCTACTTGTTTTCCGGAAATAAACCAACAAAGTTCACTTGAAAATTTTCACAAATACCTTGTGGGCACAACAAAGTTCAAGCCAACCACCAAAAATCGGAGCTTAACCACCCTGATTTAAGAAGATGCTCTGATACCAAATTGTTGGGAAAACACCTCCCAAAGATTGCCCAAAATCAAACAAACTTGCAATGTGAAAAATCTCAAACCACTTGAAAAAAGATAAGAAATTGGGGAAGAAATGATTTTTCAATATATATGAAGAACAATGGATTGGATTACTTGAACAAGTCTCAAGTTAATCCTAAAGAAAGAAAAATGGCTTTGAATTTATACACAAGAAGAACAAACTCTTGTAAAATTCTATCCAAGCCCTCTCTATTTTTCTCTCTAAAAATCGGGTGCTTCACAATGAAGGGAAAAAACCAGCTTTATATAATGTATCGGGGCGCCTAGGTGCCATTCCACTTCTCCTCCTTCTCTCTTCTACTCCTCCTTTCTCACAACTATAAACTAATAAAAATTTTACAACGTTGGGACCTCACCAAGTCAAATAAAGGTATTGGTTCCTAGTTACTATCCAAATATATAAACAGTTTACTCTAGATCAAATCAAGACGAGTTAAGTCGAGTAATAGACTCATTAGTATAGTTTTCTTATGCTGTTAACTCCCACTCGATGTGAAGGCACCAAAGGGTTGATTATTTTGTTACACATGAACATGAAGACATTGATAAAAAGTTTCCATGTAAATTTCAACTTACTTTATTATTAATTTTAGAGATAGTTCAACTTGAGTAGTTGTTTACACTTAATTTTGTCCGTGCACGAAACCATACAACCTACAAATAAAAAGTCTTTGACTAAATATTAGATTGCTACAAAACAAAGGATGTATTTGGTACACAAAGTAAACAACGAACATTTAACATGCTTTACTTTTTTAATCTTATTCATTACAATAATGTTCGATCCAATATTTTGGACATGACATGTGAACATGTACAGTTACATAACAGAAGTTGATGTGACACGCCAATTTTAGTAAAGCGAGTAAAATTATATAATAACTTGTCCCTGTATACCAAATAGAATTCATCACCAAGTAAAAATATTTGCAGCCTTGCAAGGTTGTACTTGACTTGTATTAGTGTGCATCTTTAGCTTGAAGCAAGACCTCGTATAGGTCACAAGTATTGTAATGCTAATTATAAAAACAAACTTAAGGCATGGATTTTCTTATCTTCGAAAATCACTTAAAAATTTGGCGTAGCCAAGAAGTCCCTTTCGAGAATCGGGTCTAGATAGCCTGCTGGGGGTACCTGTCAAGGCAATCGAGCCACGGATTCGTGGACGGCTTCTTGACGCGACGCATTGATCGCCAAACAACGCTGTTGCACTTAAAACCTGACCCGAAGGCCAGTTGCCATATACGGTCTCCTCGTTTGACTCTCTCCTTCGCCTCGAGATAGGCCAGTTCGTACCAAATGCTACTACTCGATGTGTTGCCAAAACGGTGCAATGTAGCACGAGACGCTTCAAGATTCTTTTCGCTCAGTTCCAAATTCCTCTGCAGCTCATTGAGCACTGTTTTGCTCGCTGCGTGCAAACAGAAATGCTCGAACGCTAGTTTGTAGTCGGGAATGTACGGCCTCGTTGGCTGGGAGTGTGCGCCGTTGCCAGAAAAGAGTCTCCATACAAGTGTAGAGAAGAATAGGAGTTGCTCTGAAATGGGCAAGACAAGGGGTCCTAATGTTGTGATGTTAGTCTTGATTGCATCACCACCAATTTCTACCAAATCTTTGCTGACCTTTAATCCCTTGAACCTCTCACTATCTTCGTCTTGATAGATGCACCTGATAAATTATACAGTTAAATAAATAAAAAAACTAATCAAAAAATGTACTTTTCTGTGTTAAAACACTTCGTTTAAAAATATAAATTGCTAAACAAAGAAAAGATTATTTATTTATTCGATAGAGAGAGATATACAGGCAGACTTAAAAATAAGAATTATGTAAATAGGATAAATTATGCAAATAAAAAACTGAAAAATTCAATTGTTTTCTGGAAGTGCAAATGGTTAAGAATTAATTGTGGAAAATGGAAAATAGTGTTGGCTGCTAGGGTTATGTTCAGGGTTACCAAAGAGAACCTTTACAGTTAAAATACAAATGCAATATTTATGTACAAACTAAAGTTTTAATATTTAAATATACGTTTTATATGTATGTATTAAGTAATAACATAAAAAATTAGAAAATACTGCCTGCAGAGCGGTCTCCCTTCCCAAGCCCTCCACCCCCGAACGTTCCCACAATCAAATGATTTATCATATTCGCCCCCGGGGCATAGTCTAGTGATGCAAAGAACAAGAGTGAGGTCATCTCACGCTTTACTAGCATCCGCAGTGTGGGAGTTCGATTCCTGAGACATGGAATTGGATTCCTTGTAGGCGTAGTGTACAGGCAGATCTTATTCTCTTGTCTGCTGAGGCACATCCCGCGATTTACTTCCCTCACAAAACTCTAGGGACGGGGCGGTGGGAGCTCTCAAGATTGGAGTTCAACCTTTATTTATCATATCCTTTTGTATGTTGACGTCCTGTCACCCCCATCTTGCTTACGACTCTCTACCAACCCAATTTATTGAACCATATGAACTATTTAAAATCTTAATATTTGCTGGACTCGACCTGTATACAATCAGGGATTGTAAATGCAAACATTAGAACTTGATCTAAATGTTTAATTGTGTCCCTATACTATATTGAATTTTTATTTTTTTGCAGCTGTCAACCATATGCAACTTTAATAAGAGCAACCTGATTTGGACGTCAGAAATCGGAACATTAATTGGCTGATAAACTTTGTAGAAAAACTTACATTTCATTACCATTAATATTAATAGATGCTTAACGGACACGAAGTTATTCCCGGTGAAAGAAATTGACAGAGGAGACGCAAACAGGTGAGAGTATTTGAGATTTTTTCGAGTAGAAGACTCAGGTTTTACACATTTCATTAAAGTCTTTCTAGTTCTTGATACGTAAAAATTAAACACTTAACATATTAAGTACAAATTATTTCCAATCTTAATAAATAAATTATTCATAAAGATTCTTGACAGTTCAATAGGGACTGAACATAATTGAAAGACACGAGGAAAATAAATTCATATAATATAATTTTATTTATTTATTTTTTCCCTTAAAACAAGTTTACCAAATAACAAAAGCTTTAGTAAAAGAAAGATTTTTTTATCCACTTGTATAGTAAAACCCTACAAGTACTCTACTACATATTATCGAGTATTCGAGTTAGTAAAAGCATAAATATCACAATCTGATATGAAGCATATTTCTTATGAATGTGCAGACACAACCTTTAAGTAATTCTTAATCGTATCATAGTTGATACATTGATGAGGTTGGTCCAAGATATTGCCTCAAGGAGTATTTGTAAACATGCTTAATTTGTGTCTATTGCTAATTAATACATTAATTTTACTATGAAGTTCTTGACCAATTTTTCCAACTTTAATGATGTTTTGCTAAGCTTAAATAAATTAATTTAGATTAATTACTCATAAGTCAATAAGTTACTTTGAAGGCAAATAAGTATTTTTTCTTAATGGAAAAAAAGAAAAAAAAGAAAAAGAAAAGTTATCCTATATTCAGAGCCTATTGTGTACTACATATGATCTAAACGAGTCTACTTTCGGTATACCTACTAAATGAATTCAATAGATAAATCAATTCAGGCAAGTAACTTCTTAAAATTACTTTTAAGCTTAAATCAACCACACAAGCATCACAAACCAGTCAACTATTATTTCAGAAATTAAACTAATGCTAAACAGAAATAAAGAAAGAAGAAATTACATACCTGAAGCTCCGATCATCTGCACCTTTATGGGTCCTAACAATATGTTCAAGCCTGTACTTAGCAAAAGGGTAGTCCCGGCGGCGATTGGAGAGGAGCACGGCGGAGCAGCCCATCCGGAAGTAACAATTTGGAATAAGCATTGACCGTTCTTTTCCAGGGTACCAATTGTACCCCACCATTTCAGTACTCACCACCACTGCATAATTATTAGGGTTTGCTTTAAGCATGTCACTAGCCAAGTCCAATGCAATAATTCCAGCACTGCATCCCATGCCGCCTAAGTTGAAACTCAAAATATTTCCTCTCATCTTGTAGTGATTTATGACCATAGCCGATAGAGAAGGCGTCGGATTAAATATGCTGCAGTTGACGACGAGAATTCCAACATCCTTTGGACGAATGCGTGTTTTTTCAAAAAGCTCGTCAAGGGCTCCGAATATTACCATTGATGCTTCAGCTCGACCTTCTTTCATTGTAGTAATATTTTCCGGGTAACTTATTGATCTTGGGATGTAGGTTTCGTCTCCAATACCAGAGGACTCTAAGATTTTCTTTTGGAACTCGAGACTAGCATCGTTGAATTTTCCTGATTTTCTTGCGAGCTCGATGAATTGCTCCTTTGTCACCTACATAAGCATTGAAACAACGATAATTTCTTTTACATTTTATTAGTCTAGTTTTAGGGTGCACTGAAATGGAAACAAAAAAAGTGACACAAAGTGTTAACACTTGGGGTTCCACCTTAAAAGGTCAACCTTATTAACAGGAGTAATCCAATTCTTTATAAGTTTGTCTATATTTTCATCTTTATTTGATGTGAGACTTTATTCCTTAACATGCCTCGCAAGATGGTGGCTCGTTTGAGCAGACCAATCTTAAAATCCGTATGCTCATTTATTGAGTCTTAATCGAATCGTTTGATGGGAGTTTAATGGGCTCTGATACAATGTTAAGATTTGAATTTTTATCTTAAAAGGTCAATCTTATTAAGAGAAGTAGCCCAATTCTTTATAAGTTGATATATATTTTCATTTTTATTCGATGTGAAATTTTATCCTTTAACACAAAGCTTGAAATTGATATAATTTAATGAAGTTGGACTCGTAACATCAAGTGTGCATTTTATTAAAACATTTACGTTGTTATAATATGATGATCCATATTTCATTTAGAAAAGTTAATCAATGTTAATTAAATTTTAGAAACTGATACAAGCAATCCAAAAAAAATAAAAAAAAATTGAGTCTTTTTGGGTGTCAAACATTGAAAAACACAAGCCTAAAAAATGTCTTAATCTCAGGAACATTTTCTCGTTTTCACTATCTGAAAAAAAAATACTGGCTGTGGTTTATATGATTAATGTTATTTAGTAGCAATGATATTACAACATCATTGTAGGTGACACTAAGTGTAATTAAATGAATCACATAATTTTATATTTAATTGAATCTATCACATAATGTTAAATAGACTTTTGATTTTTATCGGTTCATTGTCTAGAGTACTAGTGAAAAAATTCACAAAATGATGAGATATCATTTACCTTGAAATCATCAATGGGTTTGTAACATGCAAAGTCAAGAAGGTAAATGGATCGAGGCCGCGACATGAAATATGCAGAGAGTGTAAACACAAAGACCCCAAGAAATGCCAGCACTGTGGCAAGATCATAGCGTGCAGTGCTGTCCCAAATAAATCGCCGCAGCTCCGCCCTGCTGAGGCTGCCTACCTCCGCGCTGAAAATCAGCACCAGAAGTGGTATGGTGGCCAAATAAATCCCATGATTTATCAGATAATGGTAACCCAGTTTCACATACTTGAGGTTAACCGACTGCACAAAGTCTGGCAGGCGACGACGAACCCTGACGGAGAATGTTAAGGATCCAGCATCTGGACCAGAAGATTCAATGCCCCTGTTAACAATCTCGGTAGACAGGAGATGTTGCTCTCTGGCCATTTTAAAATAGCACAAAACGGAGCGTCGAGACTCACTGGTCGGCTTAACTGATATGTGTGGAGTACAGAAATTGATGGGCTTGATGAAGATCGGGATGAAAATGTGGATTTATATTGTGAATTCAAGTTAGTTGGTAGGTGAGGAGATTAAATGCTGGCATCAAAGGTGGGTTGTGCAGTTGGAAGCTTTGAACATCCATAAATTCTGGCATTTATGAGAAGCAGTTGGAATTCAAAGTCAGTCAGAATTGGCTTCCATATTTTTGTTTATGAAAAGTTTCTTCTTGCAAAGAATTTGATTGCCATATTTTAATGTTCTAGTGTATGCTCTGAGTTATTCCCAGCTCAATTTTTTCTTCATACTGTTGTAAATCCAGGCGGTATTGGACAGGCGGGTAATGAAAAGCTTGATTCTCAATATGTTCATTGAAGGCCTTTTTTTGGCTGTTAATATGTTTAGCTTATGTTTATAAACTTTTTTTTTTTTTGATGGGAAAATATTTCATTCATAAAGGTAATAAACCTTAAGAAATGATACAATAGTGTTTATCAATGAAAATTACATTTTCAATGAATAAAGAAACACTATGCCACCAAAGGAACATGTCTTCCAGGGACCATGTGTGTCGCGCCAGGGAGTGAGCAGCTTGGTTACTTAGTCTGTTGCAGTGTTGGAGGTTACATTGAGGAAAAACGTTGCATTAATTCTTTTATTTCAGCAATTTGTGATCGGATCAAGGCTGAGGATGAGCTTGATTTATTGATTTCGTTGACAAGGAACAAGCAATCGCTTTCCACTATTAAGTGAGATATTCCAAGTTTAAAGCACAGTTGTAGACCTCTCACAAGCACATCAGCTTCAATATGTTCTGGTTCGAGTATCGAGTTTGCAGGTCCACTAGCTGCCAAAACTATTTCTCCCATGTTGTCGCGTAATATGATTCCGAACCCAGACTTATTAGACTCAAAAAATAGCGCGCCATCAATATTGAGTTTTAACGTGTGTTTAGGTGGTGCGGACCACCTATATTTGTGGAGAAGCGACCGAGGCGTATAGTTGGCAGATGGACCTGATTCAGCAGAGGGTTTTTTGGCTAAAGCAGTGGTAATTACTTGTTGCGGTGGAATGTTCAGCTGGTCGTGTACCATTTTGTTTCGACGAAACCAAAAACCCCAAGTGATGAGTATAAATTCGGAGAGAGCATTCTTTGAGTCTTTTGCCTTTATATCCGTAGATGTTTGCATGAAATCTCCTAAGTGGTCCTTGTTCTGTAGCGGTGGAGATCAGCTGGTTAGAAGTTGACAAGTAGAGGGACAATTGAGTAGAGCATGGCATAGATCTTCTACTTGGTAGTCACAAAAATAGCATTGAGTGGCAATGGGGATTCCTCTTCGAACCAGATTTTGTTTGGAAGGCAAGCTGTCTTTACAAGCTCTCCAAGCAAAAATTTTAACTTTTTGGGGATCTTAAGGTGCCACATAATATCCCAGAATTTCTTTTTTTCAGCCGCATTTGAGGAGTTGCCACGGTCAGGAGATAGACAAGTCTTGAAGAATCTATATGCACTCTTGCAGAATAAATTCCCGTTTTTTCATGCGCCCATGACCAGAAATCTGTTTTACCCACAGGACTTAGGTGTAATTTTAATATTGCCTCCAGTATTTTTGGATTGAATAGAGCCCTAAGCTTTGTCAAATTCCACCACTTCATGTTGGGGTCAATCAATGAAGCCACTAGGTTGTCAAGTTGTTGATTGTACTGTTGTTGTAAATCAATTTCCAACTCCCTACTTAGATTTTTCACTCTCGGGATCCAATTATCATTTAGAATGTGTATAGACTTACCATTTCCTACAATCCATCTTCCTCCTTGGATCAATAGATTTTTTGCCTCCCAGATTCCACGCCAAGCATAAGAGGGATTTTGTCCAACAGATGCTTTAAGGATGTTATCATCTCGGAAGTAACGGGCTGAGAAGATTTTATGCACTAATCTATCAACGTGTTGCAATAGCCTCCAAGCTTGTTTTCCAAGCATAGCCATGTTGAAAATTTCTAGCTCCTTAAAGCCCATTCCTCCCATTGATTTTGATGTACACATTGTATTCCAGGATTGCCAATGGATTTTTCGCTCTTCCTTCCTTTGGCCCCACCAAAATCTAGCCATCATCCTTTCAATTTCAGTGCATAAAGTGGAGGGTAGTTTGAAGCAGCTCATAGCATAAGAGGGGATCGCTAGAGCCACTGATTTGAGGAAGACCTCTCTTCTTCCTTGGGAGAACATGCCACCCTTCCAACTTTGTAATTTCAACCAGACTTTGTGTTTTATTTAATAGAAGGCTCGCCTTTTGGATCTTCCAATCATAGGTGGTAATCCCAGATACTTGTCATATTGTTGTATTTGAGGAGCGTTCCATAGGGCCATTATTTCTTTCTGCTTTTGCACTAAAGACCATAGAGGTTTTTTCTCTATTTAACTATTGACCCGAGGCTTCTTCATAGCAACTAAGGAGAGCTTGCAGTCGAGTAGTATTTTCAACATTTGCTTCATAGAATATCAAGCTGTCATCCGCAAAGAGAAGATGATTCACCCTTGGAGCTCCTCTACAAACTTGAATACCAATCACCATTTTATTTCTTTTTGCTGCATTCAATAGGCTAATTAATCCTTCAGTACATAAGAGAGATAAATAGGGAGATATTGGATCTCCTTGCCTCAACCCCTGGAGGGAATTATGCGACTCGTGGGACAGCCATTGATAAGTATCGAGAAAGAATGAGTAGTTACACATGTCATCACCAGGTTAATAATTTTTTCGTGGAAGCCCAATTTATGCATAATTGCCTCAAGAAAAGACCATTCCACTCTATCATATGCTTTGTTCATGTCCAGCTTGAGAGACATGTAGCCTTTCTTGCCCTTCTTCTTTTTTCGTAGGAAATGGAGTACTTCGTAGGCCACAAGTACATTGTCTGTAATGAGTGGCCCTTTAATGAAAGCTAATTGTGTTTCTGAAATCACCACAGGTAGCACTAATTTTATCCTGTTCGCCACAACTTTTGAAACCAATTTATACAAGATATTACAGAGACTTATTGGCCTAAAATCCTTAACACTCTGGGGATTTTTTTTTATCTTGGGGACAAGTGTAATAAAAGTGTGATTTACATCTTGAGGGAAATCATTGGAATTTAAAGCATGTAATACAGCATTTGTAATAGAGGTACCAATATGAGGCAAATACTTTTGATAAAAAAAAGGAGGCATACCATCAGGACCTGGGACTTTTGTAGGATGCATCTCCTTCAAGGCTTGTGAGACTTCGGTTGCTATAAAAGGCTGTATCAATTCATTGTCCATTTTAGTAGTTACTTTGCATTTTATGTGCTCCAAAACAGTAGCTTGATTCCTCGAGCCTGTAGAGGCGAACATGTTAGAAGAGTAGTTTATTATTGTGTGGTTACACGCCTCTCCTTCTTGCCAACAGCCTTGGTCATCCAAGAGTTTAGTGATTGTATTTTTTCTTCTCTGTTGGGAAGCTTTTGCATGGAAGAATCGTGTGTTCTGGTCACCTTCATTGAGCCAAGCTACCCTAGACCTTTGTTTCCACATGAGTACTTCTCTATCCATCCAAGTTTGTACTTCTTCAGTCGCCTGTTGGAGAGCATTTGAGTTTATCGTTCTCGGTTCCTGTTTTTGAATGTGCGTGAGTTTTTTTATAGCATTGTTGAGTTTCACTTGCACCTTGCCGAATTTGGTAGAATTCCAAGCCTGGAGTTTATTGCTGCAGTTTCTGATATTTTGAGTGATATTTTCCAGATCCCTGAGTGCTTGAGTCGGACCATTGATCTAGCATAATATCAGCACATGTCTTTTCGCCAAGCCAGCTTATGTTTATAAACTAACTACAAATACTAAAGCCAATTTTGTTATTCAATTATTTCGAAGGATCCAAAAGTGCTACCTATTTATCCATTAATTATTATTGTTGATATATAATTTAAATAATTTATAAGCACTTCTTAGACATATAATTAATGAATCGTGTCGTGCCCATTAACAGCTCACACTAGGTGAGCCTAACCGATTTACACTTCAATCAATGCAAATGAAAATCAATTTCAAGTTGTCCAAATTGATAGGCATAATCTAAGTGCCATTATAAATAATAACATTATTCATAAGTGTGCTCATCAAAAAGTGTTAATGTGACATTTAGATGACACTGTCTAAATATCACGTCATTGTTTAGGAACCGCTTGTGAATATCGTTACTCATTATGAATATCGACAAAGTTATTTTTTTTAAATTAATTATTTTTACCTTAAACCAACCAAGATAAGAACAAAAATATGTTCTTCTAAAAAATTATTGTTCTAAGTTGCACCTAGACATATTTGGCAGTCTTTACATGTTACAGTACATATAAAACGAGGACAGCCAAATTTGCTCCAAACTAGCCGTCAACCGGTCATAACCATGCATCATTCGACCTATTCTTCTCCTGCACACGAACACGACGTTAGAGACTAATGATAACGTATCCAAATAGGGATTTTGCTGCTGTTGGCCTTCCAACGGTTAAGAAAGTCACCTGACCTTAAATAAAAGAGAGCAAGACGAAGAAGTGTAGCTAAGAGAGAGAAATCATTATACTTTTTTATTTTACGAACAATGAACTACTTGTAGATAGTTATGACTGAAGGGGCATTACGATCTTTTACATCTTTTGGAATACGTGTCATGATACTAATGTGTTCACTTCCATAATATTCTTCTAACAAACACAATTTTCTTATAAGTGAAGCTTTCCTTCACACATGTTTTATGCACACATGTTGCATACTTATAGGCCAAAGTAACTATTTCTAACAGATATTTTCACTTGATCTTCTATGCACTTTTTAACAGATTGGTGCTAACATGTCAATGGCCCAGTTTTGGCTATTATCGAAGTTTATTCGATTATTATTATTCTTACATATAATATAACCTTTGTGTCATATCTCGGTGGAAACCTAGGTCTTGATGGCTGGTCTTCAATACATTCGCTTATTGAACATTCGTTAATTTCATT